GAAAATTCTGTCATTAATTACTCACCCTCACGTCGTTCCAAACCCGTAAGACCTCCGTTCATCTTCGGAACACAAATTAAGATATTTTTGATGCATTCTGAGAGCTCTCTGACCCTCCCATAGAAAGCAATGATATTACCAAGATCAACGCACAGAAACGTATAGGAGATCGTTAAAATAATTCATGTGACATCAGTGGTTCAACTGTATTTTTACGAAGCTACGAGAATACTTTTTGTGCGCAAAGAAAACAAAAATAACGACTTTATTCAACAATTCGTCTCCTCCATGTCACCCTATAGCGCCATTTTGGAGAGTATCACATACGTAAACAACGAATGCTGTTCTGTGTCAGCAGCACCGTACATGGATACGCTGTTTATGTCATTTACGCTTTAATCTGAACGTAAACAATGTATCCGCGTATATACATTGCATACGTTATTTACGTATGTGATACTCTCCAAAATGGCGCTATAGGGTGACATGGAGGAGACGAATTGTTGAATAAAGTCGTTATTTTTGTTTTCTTTGCGTACAAAAAGTATTCTCGTAGCTTTGTAAAATTACAGTTGAACCACTGATGTCACATGGACTATTTTAACGATGTCCTTGCTACGTTTCTGTGCGTTGATCTTGGTAGGACCCTTGCTTTCTATGGGAGGGTCAGAGAGCTCTCGGAATGCATCAAAAATATCTTCATTTATGCTAGGACTAGGCTTAATCTCTGTCCGGGAAACCGCCCCAAAATGACCTAACGTCTCTCAGTAGACATTAGAGGAACTGGTCTTTCTCAGTAGACATTAGAGGAACTGGTCTTTCTGGTGTAACCGGCAGGTCTGGTAAAATAGTAAATGAGTCATTATAGTGTGTTGAAGAGAAGGAAATGCAAGCTTCATTATCGCTGCTAAAGGTATGTTTGAAATTACCGGCATTTCAAAAAAGATGTTTGGAATTATTTAATTCATTTAGAGCCATACCCTTTTAAATAGAATGCTATATGATTTGCTTAAAACAAGTCTTACTTTTTGGTGTTACAAATGTGTTGTTGTGCTCAGGAGTGTCATTATGTATAAGGTTGGGAAAGTATCCGTAAATGCCAGAATGTAAGGGATTCAGTTTATTGTAAAGCACAAATACGTGCACAGTTTGCTTTGTTCTGTCTATTTCTACAAATTCAAAATGGTAAAAAAAAAAAGTTCAAAAATGGAAATTGTTTGTGCATTAAATTACAGCTAGAAAATGTCTTATTCATTTGTGGTATATATTGTGAACTTAACTTTAATATATGTATTTGAGGGAGGCGTTTATGTTCAGTATTTGTGGATATTGTATGTGAACTGCATATGTGGTTTGACGCATACATTTGTTGACACTGTAATCATGATTGTGTTTTGAGTTTTAGTACTCAAGATTCCAGAAATGTTTTTATGGTCTTGTCATGGACTTGGGAGCATTTGGACTCTAGCTTGAATCAGACTAGTGTGGAATCAGATTTTATTCCCGTGATCGGACAGGTCCCGAAAAAGCCCACTAATTATCATCATCAGCTTACTTTCACTTAAATTACTTCACTGACATAAAAAGAACTAGTGGCAATGAAGCTAACTGTGTTATCACCTCAGGTCACACGTGTCTGGGTTAACAAGTTGAACACACCACAAAGGCTACAGCCAACAGACAGCTAGCACATACGTTCTTTGTTTGGTCTTCCAAAAGAGGACGATATCCGCTTCGTCATGCCTAGAGCTGATCCGTGCTGGTCGCTGAGGAAATACATCAACTTTCACCGTGGACAAAGCGGAGTCCAGCCCGCCTCAGCGCACTCTATCCCTGCCTCAGTGCACGCTAAGCCGGGGCTTCCCCTCACGAACGCACTGGATAGCTGGCTAATCAGAGCACACCTCGCTTTTCAGACCGATTAGTTTTGTAAAAATCGACGCGTTTCAAAAAGGCGGGGCATAGAGGAGAAACAATAATGTACAGTATGTGGAAAATAATGTGTTTTTTGAACTTTAAACCACATAAACACATTTCATTACACCAAATACACAAAATAATGTTCTTTTTAGCAGCATCATATGACCCCTTTAAAAGTGTTTCAAAACCACATGAAACCAACATCAGTACAAGCATACTGTTAAGAACTTGCTTACTAGACACTTACTTGTCTGTGACTCTTTCTGTTCTCTTTCAGTTGTGCCTCATCAAGACAGATGTCCTATAACAAGAGTTTCCTGGTTTTTCTCCTGGTTCCAGGAACTGCTTTACTGCTGTATCTCTCTTATTCCCATATGACAACAGGGCAAGATAAGAAAGAACCACAAAGGTACCCTCTTCCAAAACGACAAAGCACAGCAGCACCAAGTAAGGATCATGTAAAAGAAGAACCAGAAATGGACACTGTCCAGGAAGAACCAGGATTGTACCATGTGGCCTACCCCCGAAAATATAAATTTATCATTGACCAACCAAAGATATGTGAACAGCAAAAGCCCTTCGTGGTGATTATGGTCCCGGTGCCTCCTTGGGACGCTGAGGCACGCAGTGGCATCAGGAGGACGTGGGGTGGAGAAAAGCTCATTGGGGACAAAGTGGTGGTGGTGCTGTTTATTATCGGCTTACATAGTGGAAATGATCAAGAAACGCTGCAGGAGAAACTCCAGAATGAGAGCCAGCAGTACCAAGACCTTCTCCAGAGCAACTTCCTGGATTCCTACAAGAATCTGACCATTAAAACCATGATGATGATGGAATGGCTCAACAGGAGTTGTCATCAGGCATTCTTTGCTGTGAAAGTAGATGCTGACGTGCTCCTTAACATGAACAATCTAATAAATATGCTTGTGAGTCTGAACCCAGTACCAAACAACTATATGACCGGGCTAGTGTGGTACGGAAGCACTGTCATTCGAAATCCGTTCAACAAGTTTTATCTCCCCTATGACGTGTTCCCCAGAGACACGTATCCGCCATATCCTCTAGGCATGTGTTACATCATTTCTTTGGACCTGCCGCAGAAATTTTTGCAGGAATCGAAGCACATTAAGGCCATATATATAGAAGATGCATATCTTGGCATGTGTTTGGAGCGTTTGGGTATCGTCCCAACTCAACCGCCAAATATAGAACAATTTGTGGTGACACCACCGCAGTACAATCGCTGTTACTATTCTGGACTGATAGCAATACTTACAGACAACACAAATCAGATGACGTCTTATTGGACAGATATTCATTCAACCAGCAATCCATGCTGAGGTGGAAACATCCAGACTAGAGGTCTTCACGGGTCCACTTGGATCCGAAAACCCGAGACCCGAGCGGATTCGGGTCCAAAACTTCGACGAGTACCTCGGACACGGGTCGTATTCGGTATTAGCGGTCTCGGGTAATTTAAGATGAACATGCTTTTTCCAAATGGACCCGATTAGACCCGAACTCTTTTAAACTATCCCGAATGCGTAGGCTAATTTTACTTTCATGTTAAGTGAGGAACGCACATAGAAAAAGAGCATATGTTTGTAACCTTGCACACAGAAATCATCTTATAGATATGAGATCCATCAGGAAAATTCACTCGCTTCATTATGCTGCGTGTTCATGCAGGGCTTTTCTTTTTTGTGTGCAGAAGCCTTTCGCCGGAGATCAGGTTGCACGAACACTAGCGAATCCATGAATTATTAGGCTATAGATTAAATTTTTATCAAACTGTCACGTTTATTTTTCAAATCCACTGGTCACAATTGAAAGCCGAGTTCAGAAATAACTTGTATCCATTAGGCAGGCACTAATATAAAGTAGCCTAATAATAGATTGAATAAATGTTTAATAAATCAAAGTAATGGAGAAGCGGCCAAATCGGTCAGCAGGACACCGGGATTTTTCCTGACTGACTGCAGGGCTGCAGGCTGTGCACACGTCAATGCCGTTTACGTTCGGGTCCAGTCGTGTTTGATATTAAATGCTGTCGGACTCTGGTCTAATTTCATCGGGTCTGTCTCGGGTCGGGTTTTTCTTTAAAAAAAATTAATTTGTGCACGTTGGGTTCGGGTAAGAAGCGATTCTGGTTGATTTGGGTTGGGTACAGATTTTCGGACCCGAGAAGACCTCTAATCCAGACTAATAGGACATACTGCAATATTTTGTCTGACTAAAATTTTTTTATATTGGATTATTGGTTCACTTTATATAAGTTTACCTTGTTTGTGTGTGTGTGTGTTGTGTTGTTGTTATATGTGTGTGTGTGAGCATTTTATTTGTTTCAAGTGAAACCATTTGCAACATGCAGTATCCTCAGGAACAAAGACAGAAGTATTACATGTAAAAACATGTATGTATTTTTTATTATTTAAAGTTTAAGACATGTTAAAGAACAAGAATTCATCCAGGGGAAAATAATGCAACACATTTTTTTATTTAATAATTAAATAATTTGCTTGTTGACGTTCTCTTGTTTTTACCAAACAAAATGGCGCACTGTTTTGTTTGAGAACTGAACACTTACTGTTACTTACTGTTAAAAGGGTTTCTTGCATAAAGAAATAAGTGTATTTTCATCTGAAACCTAAGCTTGCACACACTCATGCCCAGTGTTGGGAAGGTTACTTTGGAAATGTTACAGATTACAAGTTACCCTATTTAAAATGTAATGAGTAGTGTAACTATTTCAATTACTTTATCAAAGTAATGTAACTGATTACATTTGATTACTTCTTGATAACTTTCTAAATGTCTAACAAATGTTTTCAAATATGAATCATTTTGAAACACTGAAAGCAGGTAGGGTTAATCAAATCCTTGCATAGCTATGACAGGAAACACTGGCATCTAGCAATGCCTTGGAAAAAAACTGTTAATCTTGAAAGAAATCAATTGTATCTGTATGTGTGTGAAAATATTCAGATGTAACCCCCTTTGTAATTGTTAACATTTTCATGAGTAACTGTAATTCAATTACACATTTTTCTCAGTAACTTTAACAGATTACAGTTTCATTTATTTTGTAATAAATACATACTTCCGTTACATGTAACTCGTTACTCCCCAACACTGCTCATGCCATGTTTGACAAAGAAATGATTCTACTCTAATACGTCTGTTTGACATTTGAGTTTCTTTTTGTGTAATTCCTGTTATTCTTATATATCCTTATATATATAGAGAGAGAGAGATTTCATTGTTGTTTTACTTAAAGCAAAAAATTTCATTTTTATTTAAATCAGCATTAATTGAAGACAGTAAACCAATATTTTTTATATTCTCGACTCATTCATCAGTTTGTAAAAACAACAACAAAAACAATGATTGTATTTTTGTAACAGTACAGTGGAAGCCTATAGGGCAGTCGAGAAGCACTAAAATAATTCTAGTTATTAAATTACATGGTCTTTTGAAAATGTGTTACCTAGCATGATATCACTTTCTGAATAGCTTGTGCTAAGTACAATGTCCTTCATCTAATATGGGTCATATAAACCTACGTGGAAACTCCCACAGCATTTCTAAACCAGAAGTTCATCCGCCTAAAAAAGTAGTACCACCTCATAAGGATGATATAAAACTTTACAGTTCACATACTACATTTTTTTTTTTTTTTTTTACTAAATAATTCTACAAAAATATGAGCTTGAAGATGTTTTAAACCGCTTCTACTGAGTTATTTCATGGCGGGTTATATTTTAACTAACATTTGTGAATAAAGTAAATATTTGCTCACATAAAGCTAACCGGACTATTTGAATCTGACTTAACTCCCCCTCAGCCGTGTTTCAAGTCTTCTCAACATCAGTTATCGTCTATTCTTCCCAACAGTTAACTGCACATTACATCAAAATGTTCAAGGTGTCTAAATGTTTGTTTTCTTCGTCAGCGGTAAAGATGAGAAGTAACCCATAGTGAGAACAGCTACAATGCTACTAAATGACTGACCTAGTATTATATATAAAAAAGACCTGCCATCTCTAACAGCATTACACTGTATGTGGGCCATTATGTTGACTGGGGTAAGCAGATAAACATCAAATTTTCATTTTTGGGTGAACTATCCCTTTAAGTACAAACCCCATTTTCTACCTTTGTCAAAATCCCTATAATAGCATTACTAACTAAATTAACAAATATAATTATGCTACAAAAAGACATGCACACACACAAATACAGACGACATATATAGGCTACATACATATTTATTTAGATACAAATAATAGAGAGGTAAACGTAGGCTAATTGCCGTTTTAATTTTAATTGATATTAATAAGTTGAGCTAAACAGGAACTTTTTATATAAATAATGAATTAATAGTATTCAAGTTAGAAAACATGTTTTTATAGGAAATGTAGTATACTAATTACACTCTTATTTTTTAATGACCATAATACTGTTAGTAATCAGTTAATAATCACATCAAATTTTCATTTTTGGGTGAACTATCCCTTTAAGTACAAACCCCATTTTCTACCTTTGTCAAAATCCCTATAATAGCATTACTAACTAAATTAACAAATATAATTATGCTACAAAAAGACATGCACACACACAAATACAGACGACATATATAGGCTACATACATATTTATTTAGATACAAATAATAGAGAGGTAAACGTAGGCTAATTGCCGTTTTAATTTTAATTGATATTAATAAGTTGAGCTAAACAGGAACTTTTTATATAAATAATGAATTAATAGTATTCAAGTTAGAAAACATGTTTTTATAGGAAATGTAGTATACTAATTACACTCTTATTTTTTAATGACCATAATACTGTTAGTAATCAGTTAATAATCATTGAGATAAAATTACACATATTTGAAACAAACTGAAATGGTTATGAAATCAAATCTTTAAAATTGCTCCAATCAAAAGTCAATCAGTTTTCCTTTAGATGTGTATCTGGCCTGTAGAGGGAAGAATCGACACAAAACACAACAATTTACCCAGTATTATAGATCAAATAATATTTTTTTTTATTTTTATTAAATAATTTATGTAATCACTTCTGTCTTCACATTTGTGTTTTTAACCCCTCTGTAAGAACAGCCTCCATTAAATAAATGCATTACTGTAAACCTCGTTGCCATACCACGCAATTTGCATAATGAAAGATTCAAAAAAAAGTTGGGGTGTTTTTGCTTAAATAGTGTTTACGTAATTAGCGCTATGATAAGTATGATAAGTTGTATTTAGTGTATAAAACTATGGGATAAGTCACCGTCACTGAGACCAAGAGCGTGTTTTTTAGGCTTACAGACACAAACACAATATAAGAGCTACTATTGTTCTGGACAGAAAGACATGATGCATAAGGACAGTGTCCTTAAAGTCACAGGATTTATTTACTTTTGCTTAAGATTACATTTGTAATAAAAATACAAACACATAAAACAGTTATGTTTGCACCTAGCATATTTTTGTCATCTATCCTAGTAGTGATCCAAAATAAGCAATAGCCAACTAGCTAAACCACCATAATATGAATTCTATTACACTGCACAGGAACCTGGTTCTTGTTAGCATACGAAGATGGAGATCAGTGTGATGGAGGCCTGAGTCTGGAGAACATGTAGCATGAAATATTGTTTTGCTTTATGATACACATGTAGGCGGTGTCAGTTTTTCCTTCTGTCTCTGGTTATTCCAGGGATGTCAGTGTCAGTGCAGTGTGTAAGATGTGTCCAGAATCTGCTGCTCCTTTTTCCTCAAAGCATGGAAAAATTCAGCCACTAGAGGGAGACAAAATACAGTGTTGTTGTCTTTGGGTATATTTGGAAGAGCGTCCTACCATACCTTTCTGATTTTTAACTTACAAACCTTTAGAGACAGACCTGTTGTGAGCGCTGAGGTTGTTAATCGATGGTACATGGCATCTGTTTGCATCATTTTAAACTAGTTTTTAAATTAGATTTAACAGTCGAATTTGTGGTGAAAAACCACATTACCCATGATGCTGTTCAAAAATTCCACCAATCAGAGTCACGATCAGCAAATTGCACCAAATTAGTTTGCAAGAAAACGCCCTCTTACATGAAGCACCGCAAATGACGACTTTAAACAACATTAAATGCATAGTTTTCGATTTCATCATGTCATTTACAATGCTTCATGGGATTGTAGTTTGGTCCCTCATTAAAGCCGTTAAGTGCACAGGCTTGGACCGTTGTCTTTTTGTCCAATTTTTAAATACGTTTTTGCTTCAAATCAAAGTTTGTGATGCCGTGATTCACCTTGTAGCTGGTTGGTTTGGTTCATGACTTATAACGCTTTAATGAAGACTTTTAAAAAAAATCCCTGTGGGAAAAATGAATGGGAAAATACTCTTTATAATATGTATAGCCTACGGTGCTCAGTATGCACATTATCTGTACTGTATGGAAGCCTGTTTCCTTCATGGATTAAAAAAATAAAGGTAATTGCGACTCTTTATCTTACAATTTTTTCCCAAGAATTGAGAAATTCAGAGAAAAAAAAGAATTTCAAGATATAAACTACAAACTACAAGGCATAAAATGAGAATTAAAAGATTTTAAACTCGCGATAACAAAACTGAGAGACGTAAACTCAGAATTCAGAAGAAAAAAGTCAGAAGTGCTTGAAGTAAATTCGGAAGTGTGAGGAAAAAAGTCACAATTCTGAGTTTATATCTTGCAATTCTGGCTTTTTTCCTCAGAATTGTGAGATTAAAAAGTCACATCAGAAAGGCATTTATTTTCAATCAAAATGAAGGAAATATTCGA